TGAGCCGAAGTCGGACACTCAATCGACTGAGCCACCCAGGTGCCTCTATCCTGTTTAATTTTTATTTGTTTGTTTGCTTGCTTGCTCTAAAGAATATTGAATTAGAATCGGAATCTGATAGAGACAAGTGCATGATCATAGATTTTCAAGCTTAAATAAATTGGAGTGTGGTAAGAGCCTAAGCCATAATGAAATCACAGAGAATATAGAAGTACCGGGGTCCCCAACAACTTAACATTTAGACAGCTGATCAGCATTATCGAAGAGAAGAAAGAATTTGGTGTTCATTCATTTATTTTTTTTTTCGATTCGACAAATATTTATGACCTTAAAACTATGTTGGGATGCAACAGAAGATATGCTGAATACATTTCTTATAAAACACAAGCACCCGTTCAGAGATGTTGGTGCAGACTATTCTCGGCTTCCCTACCAAGCTAAAAGAAGCATCTGTTTTCCCCCCCTAAAACTACACCTTACTCTTTCTTGAGAGCATTAAAACAACTATTCCAACTGGTTGATTGCCACGGTAATCTTTCAAATAAGCACAAAGCATACTTCTTGCCCTTTGTGCCAATTGCCCTTTTTACCATTGAAAGACATTACGAGGATGCTCGAGGTTCGGGAATGGTTCAGGAGGAAGGAGAGGAAGGCTGAGCTGCTAGAGGAAGGGATGAAGGGATGGAAGAGGAAGGAGCCAGTGAAGAAAGAGCTGGCAGCCTAAGGGACCAAGGAAGGGGCAGAATGAAGAGAGGGAAGGCGGTCAGGTATGGGTGACAAGGAGGAAACAGTGCTCTGGCACACGGCCAGAATTCAGAAACGTTGATCAGAGCCCTGCTCCGCCAGTAGAATTGCAGCTCAGCACCACCCGAGGCTCTTGCTCAAGCCAGGGGTCAGGACCTTCTCTAGAAAGTTCCAGACTAGAGGCAACTCAATCAGGACAGTGACCGTCCCAGATAAGTGTACTTGAAACTGCCTCTTTCACAGATCCCTTGGGATGTCATGAAAGATATTTCGAAATAAAACTTAATGATGTTCAGGAAGGCGAAGTAATAAGGTGCGGCCCCCTATGGAGGCCTAGCCCCGGATGCGAGGACCGGGGTGGCTGTCAACTGGCCTCCTAGGGGATGGGACCATATGTGATCCTAACGCTGGGCTCCTGGGTTCCCCCAAAGTGCTTCACACTGTGTAAATTCCTCCCAAAGACAGTCCTGCCTTCCTTCTGCAGAGGCACAAGCTCTCTCTCTGCCTCCTCCATCTCCGAGCAGGCCGTTCTGGTTCCACCCAGCCCTCCTCTGGGCCTCAGGTGATCAACTCATTTACACTTCATGCCCTCTTGGGGGGTCAGGAAGAAGGGCTCACTTCTCTATCAGCCCCATGGCTCATGTTCTGCTACAAATTTTTCTCAATACAACCATAGGAGAGCCTCTCCTCCACACCGCACCCCACAGCCCTACCCCGCCACTCTCCCCCGCCCCTCCCCACATACACATCCCCACGCAGACAGGCTCAAAGGTGTGGTCCAAGCACCCATGAGTGGTGGGGAGCAAAGCCCAAGGCTCAAGAGAATGAAGGAAGTCCTGAACACTCACCAAGTGCAAGGTGTCAGCCTTCTGTGTCTGCCTCTGTCGGCTCTTCTGGGCAGCAATGCGATTTTTCTCCCTTCTCTGAACTTTTCTCACATCATCAGATGAGTCCTGGGAAGCAGACAAGATGGGAATGGGGTGAGTGTGCTCCTCCCTTCTTTTTTTTTTTTTTTTTAATTTTTTTTTTTCAACGTTTTTATTTATTTTTGGGACAGAGAGAGCTCGAACTCACGGACCGCGAGATCGTGACCTGGCTGAAGTCGGACGCTTAACCGACTGCGCCACCCAGGCGCCCCTCCTCCCTTCTGAGTTAAAACAGGTTCTCCTGCCGTTCGGTATCTGTCCGTCCACCCGTGTGCATCTTTTCATTTGCCCATTCACTCCCTCCTTCCCTAAAGGCTGGGCCCAAAAGAGAACCTTCCCCACACTCTGTCACGCTCTCTTACATCTATATAGGTATGCTGGCCAAAAGCTACAGGAAGAAGAAAAAGACCCTAGGGCCTAGATAGGGCTGTATTTGGAAAAAATTGGTTAAGGCGATGAAGTGTGTTTTATCACCTCTCCAGCCCTCTAGGGCTGCTCCACCCTTATTCTTTCGGCCTAGAATTTTCTTGCTTTTTTTTTTTTTTTCAAAACTTTGTTGACACCAGCAATGTGACGACTTCTGTGAAAATGCTTTTTCAGAGGTTCTCTTGCTTTTTTTAAAAAGGTTTTTTTTAATGTTTATTTATTTTTGAGAGAGAGAGAGAGAAGGAGGGAAGGAGAGTGGGGGAAAGGCAGAGAGAGAGACACAGGATCCAAAGCAGGCTCCAGGCTCTGAGCTGTCAGCCCAGAGCCCAATGCGGGGTTTGAACCCACAAACCGTGAGATCATGACCTGAGCCCCCCAGGCACCCCAGAGGTGCTCTTGCTTAATTCCTCAAATCTGTGGAGTTGATATTATCGTTTCTATCTTATATGTGAGGAAACTGAGGCTCAAAGGGCTTGCCCGAGAGTTCACAGTAAGCCAGGACTTACATCTTCTGCTGCTAAGTCTGATGCCTTTCCAAGCCACTCCCCACCCCTCACTGGTTTGTACCCATGTGTCTTCTGCCACATCGCTGGGCTCAGGTCCCATCCCAGATCAGTCTCTCTTTCCCCCTGCATTCCCTTCATTATGCTCAGTGACCCTGACATTCCCCATGGCTCTCAGCACAATGCCTAATACAAACTAGAGACTAAGAACAGCTTTAACTGTGGAGATTACCTGGCTGTGGCAGGTTGCTGATGGGTGCTTAGGAGGACAAGAGGACATCGGGTGTCCTCTAAGTATGTCCCACAGATGGACATGTCCTCTACGTGGGCAGAGAGGTTAGCTCCAGCTGTCCCCCAAACACTGCAGGATAGGTGTAGGAGCCTGAGTAAAACTCTTCCACCACTCCTACCCTGTTCCCTCTCAGGTCCACACGGGACAGAGGAGCACTGTTCCTGGGGCAAGACCCTGTGCTCTCCAAGCATGTCTCACCAGCATGCCCAACACTTCCAGGCCATTGCAGTAGGAGGGCATCGGGTCAGATGGGAAGGAAGTGCTTTTCTCTAAGGGGCTGGGAACCCAGATTACCATGGAAGCCATGAGTAATTTCCTTCCTAAGAAGAGTACAGACTTCCAGGCAGCCCGAGCCACCCTGATACCATCTGGAGCAGAAGACTGGATTGTTTGCCCTCTAGAGGTCTCTGCTATGACGTCTCCCCACCTGGTGCTCTTCTGTGCGGTATTCATGACAGATGCTGTCTTATATGTTTATATACTTTTATTTCGGCTGCAGCATCTTGAAAGCCCTCTTGGATGTCTATGCTAAGCAAAGAATGTGGTTTTTAAACCACAGAGTTGGGGAAGACATTTTAATCTCTTGATGTATTGGGTGAGAATGCAGAAGTCTTTCTATAGGGAGGGATGTCAAGGAAGGTGGTGAAGAGAAGTCTCCAAAGGTTTGGGGTCAGGGTGCCTGGGGGGCTCAGCTGGTTACACGGCAGACTCTCGGTTTTGGCTCGGGTGGTGATCCTCAGTTCGTGGGATTGAGACCCGCGTCAGGTTCCGCGCTGAGGCTGTGCCCAGCCAGCTTCCGATTCTCTCTCTCCCCCTCTCTCTGCCCCTCCCCAGCTCATGGTCACTCTCCCTCAAAATAAGTTAAACTTTTAAAACATTTAAAATAAAATAAAATAAAATAAAATAAAATAAAATAAAATAAAATAAAATAAAATAAAATAAAATAAAATAGAATAAAATAAGCTTCGGGGCTGGCAAGGGGCCCCTCCTGTTGGCACCCCTCAAGCTGAAAACTTTTGACTCGGAAGTCACCATCTAGATTCCAAAACGCCCCCAGACTCTCTACCTCGATCGCTCTGCTTTCCCCGGAACTGAGCCGAGCTGAGCTAGAAGTGAGTGCGTCCGTCAGGTTCCAGTACTGCCTCCCGATTGACCCTTTCCTCCTGCCCAGCGGCCACAGGGGAAAGAAAGAGGCTTCGAGGCATCGCGACAGCGCCCCAGCATCGCTCTCCGCTGGCCGTGCCGGCGGCAGGGGCAGGGCCCCTGTAGGTCCTCTTGCGTCTGCTTCCCCCTCCGTCTAACTTGCTCTTTTTTCTTCTTCGCTTTTCCCCGTCGCCTCTCTCTCTCTCCCTCTCTCTCTCTTGCCCTGCTGGCTGCCCCACCCTCCCCCCTCCCCCCCGCGACCCCACGCGCCGGGGCCCGGGGTGCATGCGGCCTCTGTGATGCTGTGCCCCTCGGGTTTCTCCCGCCTTGCAGACAGGTGGACCCTCTCTCCTTGGAGAGACCGGGGTTCTCTGATGCACATGCCCCTCCTGGCTTCCTAGAAAGCTTCGCGGGGTGAGGACCCGGCTGAGGCGGGGGGCGGTGGGCCCCGTCTGGAACCGAGAGGAGAAGGGGCCCTGGTGGAATGGGTGCGGGACGAGGGTCCGCGCCGACAGGCGGCTGAATTGCAACCACCGTCGTAAGTCTGACGGGGCGTTCCTGCCACCAGCCACTTCCTCGCGCCCCGGGGCTCCCTGGGCAGCCCAAGCAGGCCTGGCCCTCCCGCTGCCCGCCCCCTCGGAGACGGAGACGGAGACGCAGAAGGTGGGTTGCAGGGAAAGGGGGACCCTACCTGCTTGCCCGGGGGAGGAGAGCGGCTGAAGCTGGAGTCGCTGCTGTCCGAGCTGTGAGGCATGGCTGCAGTCTTCCGGGCTCTCCACCCAGCCCCCGACGCGCCCGCGGGCTCTCTTGTCACCAGCTGGCCTCCCTTCCTGGCTGCTCCCGGGCCGCCAGCCCACCCCCCTGCACAGGTCCCTCCTCTGCCCGCCCTGCAGCCACCTCTGACCCCCGCGCGTCCTCCTCGCTCTGGGGTGCAGAGGCACTGCTCCCCACAGGGACATGTCGCTCGCTTTGGGGCTCGTGCGCGCGCGCTCTCTCTCTCTTGTGGTTTCTGGTAACTCACACTGGAAGTCACATGGGCGGAAACTTAAACAAGGTAGAAGTTAATTTGAGAGAAAATACATATCTGGGAAAAGACCCACAGAATTATATGAAAGGAAGACCAGAAAAAAAAAAATACACAAAACCCCAGATACCTTCTGACTGTTTGAAAGGCAGAACAGCTCTCCTCAGTTGATGGAGATAAAAGAGAAAAACAGCCCAGGCAGGGAAAAACCCCAGCCAGAATTAGCAAGTCCGTCTCCTGTCAACAGGGCAGAAAGGAGAGGGAAAGAATTTCCATTGTCAGCCGACTTGATTTTTCAACCAAAATAAAGCAACGAGACTGGGATTTCTCTCTGGTTTTTACCCGAAAGCGGCGACCCATCCGTCCTGTGACAGGCCTCCCTCACCCCCCATGCAGCCTGGTCCTTCCCTGACTGCCCAACAGAAGAGGCCCGGCGAGCTCTGGAAGCCACCGGCGCCGGCTCTAGAGTTGATGTCCCAAATGTCTAGGCGTCACCTTAGCAGCCGGTTGACTGAAGGGAAGAGATGCCTCTCGTGTTCAGAGTCTGAAAGACTCAAGCTCGGGACGGGCTTTGACTCTTAAGGATCCAAGGAGGTCACCGGGTCAAAGCCCAGAATGGAGGAACAGTAAGAAATCGCAAAATGAGCACCGCACTTGGAGTTGCGTTCTGGCGTTAGCAGGGTGCCTGTGGCCCTGGGGGTAGCTCCCCTGAACTCTGTGCCCCTCATCATCTCCATCTGTAAACGGAGAGCGGTAAAACCCGTCCTGCCCACCTCTCTGGGGGGCTGTTTCCAGAAGCAAATGATAGCAGGGATTAGAATGCCCCTGGCCTGTAAAAATATACGCTGTGAAGACAGGTGTTACTTGTAGTGTTCTTAGCCTTGCTGGGAGCACGTTTGCAGAGTTCTCGGTGAGCAATCTGACATTCACCTGGGCATTGTGGCTTTTTTTAAAAGCCCTTGCTTTCTTCCCGGCACGGCTGGAGGCCAAATGCTTGCCTTGCCTCCTCAGGATTAACAGGAAGAATGCCCCCCCCCCCAAGGATTTTGCATCCACCGGCTGGATTTCTGTCCTAAGACAATATTGTCCTCAGGCTAAACTGAGCAAAACAAAATTCCCTCCCTCCTGGAAGTTACATCTGAGTGGAGGAGGCAGGCGGTAAACGAAGAAGCTAATATACAACACATCAGAAGGTGACAGGTGCTGTGGAGAAAAATAAAGCAGGTGGGGGGTAGGGAATTCTGGGGGTCAGTGGGTTGCTGTTTCTACAGGGTGGTAAGAAAGGTCTTACTGAAAGGGGGGGGCATCTGACCAGTGACTTGAAGGAAGGGAAGGAAGGGAGGGAACATTCCAGCAAGGACCCAAGGTGTGAGTGTTTGGTGTGTTAGAGGAGTAGCAAAGAAGCAGTGAGTGGCAGAAGATGATGTCAGCGGGTATCGGGGCGAGGTCATGTAGGGCCTTGGAGGCCACTATGAAGATTGGGGCTTTTATCTGGAAACAAATGGGGAGTCTCAGGAACACCACCTTCCCACCTCCACTCTGTGATTCTCTCCCGTAGCCACTATTTGTGTCCTCGGCAGCACTTAGAAAATTTTGTCATCGTTTTACTAGTTTACTTAGGTTTTTTGTTTCCCTGTTTCCCTCATTAGAGTGTTAGCTCCATTTATGAAGTTAATTCAACAAATGTTTATTGAGCACCTACCATGTACCAGGCAATGTTCTAAGTACCGGAGATACAGTTAATACTTTGACTTTTTCTCTGAACCAGATGGTGAGTCGGTTTGCTTTTGCTACCCAGCAAGCCACAGAAAAATCCAATGGCTTAAGACAACAACCATCTATTTAGCTCATGAGTCTCTGGGTCCTCTGGAAGGCTCTTCTGGTAGAGGCTAGGCGAGGCTGATCTTAGCTGGGCTCTTTCGGTGTCCTCAGATAGCTGGTGGGCTGGCTGCTAATCCGATGGCCTTGCCTGGGCCGGCTCTGCTCCACATGATCTCTCATGGCCCCAGCAGGCTTGTTCATCGAGCTGTTGCAGGATTCCAAGAGTAAGCGCAGAGGCGTTCAAACCTCCTGAGTCCTGGGCACAGCCTTCCTTCCGCCACATTCTACTGGACAAAGAAAGTCACAAGGCCGGCCCAACTCAGCGGGTTGAGAAACAGACTTCACCTCTCAACGAGAGGGATTTAAAGAATTGTGGCCATTTCTGCAATCTCCCACAGGTGAGGAACCATTGGAGGTTTCAAAGCAGAGGCGTGATGAGCCCTAACATGGGTGGAGATCTTTGTTCCTCCTCTAACACACCGAACGAGATCTTTCTGGATGCAGTTGAGAGTTTACCGTCGGGGAGCAAAGCGGAAGGAGGGAGACCAGTCAGGATCCCGGTATTGGATTATCATTACTATTATTATTATTTATTATTGTTATTATTGCAACAATCCAAGTAAAAGGTGTCGGTGGCGTACATAGACCAGTGAAGCAGTGATGAGGGTGATAGGAAGGGAGCCATGTAAAAACCAGTGACTGTGTCTCTCTTGTTTATAATCACACGCCCGGTGATAGTAGGTGCCTGATCAATAGTCGTCAAGTAATGTATGAACAAATCCCCTTAGAACTTTGCTCGTACTTGGGGCACTTATCACGACCCTCATTGTCCTAGATCTTTTCTCACCCTTGTGTACAGAAAGCTCTATAAGGATAAAAATCGTTTATAAATACCTAGTATGTAGCAGGATCATAAATAGGAATAACACAGAGGCCCTGCCCTCGTAGAAAGAAGGGGGAGTAGTGAACCACACAATGTTCAGATGAAGTTCTTTGCTCTTTGAACATTCTATCGTTCAATAGTAAATACTTGCTGAATGAATGATTGCTTGACTCTGTGGTTCCAAATCAATACACTGAGTT